CATGGGTGAACCTTCTAGTACTTGGGGTTCAAGCATAACCCCCTACGGCTTTCTTCAGCACGAATAAGAGAAATAGTCTCATTTAGAGATGGTACCTCTTCTTTGCTGAGAATCTGGACCCTAACTTGATCAAATTCTGCGTTGAGTCCTGTAAGAAAGTCATAAACACAATCTTTTTCGATAAAACTCTTTAGGATTGCTGCATCCGCTGCACATTTAGTCTCAATGCACCGATAACGATCGAGTTCTTGCCACAGGTTCTACAGTAAATTTGCGTACTCGGTAACTATCTTGCTGCCTTGTTTAGTCGCTCCAGTCTTGACTTTAATTTCGTACACTTGTGCTGCATCACGTGCCTTTGAATATGTTTGTCGGACGGCATCCCAGATCTCTTTAGCCGTGGATAAAAACATACACGTGTCGCTGATTTCAGGGTTCAATGAATTCCATAACCATGACATGATCATGGAGTCAGCTTTGTCCCATGCATCAAATCTTGGATCTCCTTCCTTCGGTCCCGTCCCTAAGAGATGGCTAAGCTTTCCTTTTCCCTTTAAATATGTTCGAACAAACTGAGACCACTTCAAATAATTTTTCCCGTTCAACCTATATGCTGCCTGAATGTTTTGCAGGTCGTCAGATGATTGATGGGAGGAAACTTCTTCCGATTGTGCGGTATTTGATACGGTGGCTTCTGACATATTGGGCGGGCTTCAAGAAAGAGAGAAAAACAGACAATGAAGTTCTGAAAAATTTAGTAAGGGTTGGCGATGAAGGCCTAAAGAATCTTTCAGCCAATGTCCAAAAAAGGTAACTGTAATGCTCCGCCAAACTGAAGAGTGGATTGAAACCTCTCAAAATCAAAACTGATCCAAACCAAACCGAAGGGATTCAGTAAATCTGCTCTGGGCAACACCAAATCTAAGATTTCAGACTGATCCGATGTCTCTACAAAGATTCAAGAAAAAGGATGAATCCGATGGCGCAGCAGTCCAGAAGAAGAAAAAAAATGTAGAGTTCAGATCTGTAGCCGATCTCGAAGAAGAAGAATCAAGGACACTCAAGAACCTCCCAAATACTGTTAAAGAGTTCTTGAACCAGCAGCAGCAGAGATGACCGGAGAGATACTATGTGTAGATTAGGTCGTGACCAGCTTTGACACCATGTGGGAATTTGAGAGAAAAAATGAATTGATTGTATCGTCTTACAAGGAGCATATACACAGCTTTATATAGAATTACAGAGCTAACTTACAGGGTGATAAAATAGGAAACTAACTTTTCCTAGAAAACTAATTTCTATATCAGTGGGATTCTCCAATTAATATCCCATGATTCTAGGATATCCCATGATTCTAGGAAACTAACTTATGCATGTTTCCTAAACTGATGGACCTAAAATTATGGAGAATCAATCAGAGAGTCAATCTTCTACTTTCCAACAATACATTCTACTTGGATCAGCCTCTGTGATCAATTGTCTAGCAATAATTGATGTCTCATTAGTGTATATTTTGGAATATGATTTCATTATGTGATTCTAGTTATCTGCATGCAAGGAGTTGAAAATTAAAGGTTTCACTTTCATTTTGCAAAGTGGCTAATATGGGATGTGTTTGTCCAGTGATTGATATCTTAAGGATGATCATCTTACATCCTGATGGGGCAAGTTTACTTCTTGTGCATGTCCAAGATGAAAATGGTAACTTCTCCATATGCTTATCTTTTGCTTTTCATCTGTGGCAAACTGGTTTGGTCGAGAACAGTTCTAGCTAGAATTTCATTTTAGATACATTTAGAGTTGTGTTACTTTATATTGAACATAATATGTTCTGCTTATAAAACTTTGCTTCCAGACAGAATTCTAGCAGATATGGTAATATAGTAATGGCATATTTTGTCATTAATCCTATTCTCCTGAATCCTGATTAGTCACACTGATCTCTTTATTATTTCTTCTTGTTGTACATCTTATTCTTGCATTTGATATGTAAAGACTTTTTGTGATCTAAACAGATGCGTTGATGGAGATGATTAAAAGAGTTACCATGCTTCCTGCACTGCCAGCAAACCTCTTAACCAGCATTCGTGCTTTGACAAATCTCTTCAAGCATTCATGCTTCTATCAGTGGCTACAAATGCACCGCACTGAGGTCATTTCTTAATTCTTACTCCCAGACTGGGGTTGAGAATTCAGATTCAACTATTTATTGACAGAAATTACTAATTTCTCACTTATCAGTTATGATTGCAAGAATGGGCCTTCTTTTGGTAGATTAAGGGTGATTGACCCAGTCTGTTGTTTTCTGGTTAGTTCACAAAAGTCTGGTATGAGATAAGATATGATCCCTTACATTTTCTTTTTCTCTAAGGTCAACATTTGGTTTTATTTTTGGCCAAGTGGTAGTTGACCCAGTCTGTTGTTTTGTTTCCTTTTAGTTACCAGATCAAAGAGTACTTAGTAAAAAGATAACAGAGTGCACATTATCAAGCCTACTCTCAATTGTGCTAGACCTATAAATCCTCTAGGGTCAAAGATAACACTATGTATATGCATAATCTTCATGAGTATGGTTAGACTATCTAATCTAGAAGAGTACTCCCTCAATACAACCCTGATTTTCTTATCCCACTTTTTGCAAGTCTGTCAGCCAAAGAGTTGTGGATATCTGGATCCATCTGGATGATGTGTTCATGTTGCAAATCAGAGCTCAGGCCTCACTATATAGTTATGGAAAAACCAAGGTCCCTCAACAGCATCCCTAAACCATTAAATAACTACCTGTGAATCTCCCTTCACATCCACACGTGCTAAACCTATGGTAACCAACAGTTGTAGACCTGTAGTATGGATCTCATCTTAGCTTTGAGTCCTCTGAACAGATAGGCCCAAATATGCTACTAAAATCTCCTCTTGCATCCCTGAAAATTCGCCCTGCACTGGAGGGGGAGATTGCTATTACAGTTTTATAGTTTTTGTTTGGTTTAGCTGGTAAGGAAACATGCTTTGATGTGTTATTTTTACATATGAACATCTGCTAGTTGGAACGATAACCACAAATTAAAATTCCAATACTTATGAGTTGTCTAATACAAGTACCATTACATTGGGTAGGGATGAATTAGTGCTTGAGTGAGGAAAGTGGAGTGATGTTTCTGAGTCTAGTATGCAATATTGCCTTTTCAGTTGATGCTTACACCTAGAACTTTCCACCATAATCTGTAGAATTCTTCCATATGAAGTCATTGCCTTGAAAGGGGTTTTTATATGCTAATTGTGGCTGAAGCATTTAGAGATGCTAGAGTGTGCAGGTTTCTTTAATGGTTGTAGGCCTACCTCAGAATACTGCGCATATTCTGGAGGGAATTGGTAACTTAATAAGAATCAATCGTGGTGAAGCCAAAGTGCTGGAGCTAAATATCAAACCATATCTCATGGTGCTACTGAACTTCTCTTGTTGAGGCTTGAGTGCATTGTGGTAAATTGGGGGTTTAAGGAGTCGAAAGGATCTACATGTTGAAACTTGAAACCAAATATGAGAGCCAATTTTTCTATTTGAGGAGGAAATAAAGGAAAAAGGACCAAAACTGCTTGGTGTAATACGAGTTATGATTCCCACAGTAGAATAAAAATGGAGCTCAAGTATTAGAGCTTTAATGATGCCTTGATAGATGTAAGACCTATTATATGAATCCTTGTTGGGATAACTTTCTACAACAGACTTTGCTCTGATGAAGGGACTATCTTTGACAGCTACAGCATTTTTGTATCTAGCTGAATAGAAGCCCTTGGGATGTATAAAGTTTTCTTTTTAGTTTTCCTGCTCAGTGTCTTGCTGTGCAGGCTCCCTGTACTTTCTTCCCTTTTTAATGAAATACTTTACCTTTTCTCAAAAAAAAAAATGTGGGAAAGATATTTTTGGATTTGGATGTGAGGATCCGGTGCTAGTCCCAAGGACTCAGAAGGGAGGATATCTTTTTAGATTGACCCATGTTCCACGTTTTACTTAAGGAATTATTGATGGTTTTGATAAGCTTAAGTCCTCTGATTTTGATGATTTACTTGACTGAATTGTGGCAAAAAATCAGAAATACTGAACAAAATTTCTCCCCTGTACTTGATGTTGATGCAATTGAGAAAGGGGATTCTTATAATTTTACTACAATCTGTGAGCTCCTTCTCTATGCTCTTGCACTGAATTGTAGACATATTTCAAAAACTTATGGCATATTAGTGGTATGATGAATATGGTGCATGCATCTATAAAAAAAATGATGCATGCACTTCTTTTTCTGAAACATATATTCTATATTTTGTAATAGTGCATGGTGCTTTTCTTGTTTTCAAAAGGTCATGTTTTGCATATTTTTCTCAAGGAAAATTGAGTGTGTAAAACCCTTGGTATGGCAGGAGAGGATTAGTAATGTTCTTCATGTTTAGTGAGTTTGCAGATTCTTGATGCCCTGTCAAGTTGTTGTTCATCTACCAACAAGAATGTGCAATTGTCTTATTCCACATTGCTACTCAAGTAAGTCCAGCTTGTATTTTGGTTTCCTTATATTTATTTTCCCCTTGCATATTTATTATCTTAAAAAGGGAAAGACACTACTTGTTAGCATTCAAATTATGCATACCAGTGCTTACTTGTGTTTGAGTATTATCTGGTTTTATATAAACTAACATGAATTTATTTTGATGAGTATAAGCTAACACACATAACAGATATTGTTAAAGCAACTATTCATTCTTGACATACTGGTTGAAGATGGAAAGTTGGAGGGGTCTGCAAATGTTTGCAGGGAAGTAGTTTGATCAGACCACTTCTGTTTGGACAAGGGGCCTGAAGGGGACTTCGGTAGTATTGATGACCAAAGGAGGCAACCTGTAATAGAATCCACTAAGAAGTAGGATCACCCTTTACAAACTCCAAATCCAACTAAAAAGCTAACCAGAAACAGCTCCTGTTTACTTTATAGTTATGATAAGCCCACATGTAACCCATGGAGGTCTTCAAGTAATGACAAATAAGCTATATGGAAGTATAAGCAAGATAGTGGAAACTAGGAAGATTCAATTCTTGTCATCAGTTGACACCTTATCAGGAAAAATGGCCATAACTTTTCCAAAACAGATAAGATTCAGAAGATCTTGGTCTCATTAGATGGGTTACTAGAAAACCTATCTATTGACACCAAAACAAGTCAAATTGACAACTTCTGAGATCTAAAACAATACAACACTCAATCTTCTTCCACTTATCAAACTCAGAAAACAAGGAGATTTCCTTCAAGAGGCAATCAAAGATCAAAAGATTCCGATAAAAGAACAAAAACACGCCTGTAGAGGGAAGGTGCTGCTCATTCAAATAAATGAAAATAGATGGGGTAGGTTCATCCGCTTAAGCTGTTGGGAGCTTGCTCAGAAGCTCAGATTCATTTGCATCCCCGAAGAAGCAAGGAAAACAGGTTGGAAATCTTTCGTTGAAGTACTAAATTCTCTTCTCCCGAGTTCTGTTTTGTCAACCTCTGAATCTCCCCTACAAGGGGATTTCCCACCCATATTGGCTACGAGCAGAATCGTTAAGGCTGGCGACTCCGCCCACATCTCCATAGCCAATTAATCGAGACCCTTCAGCAAATGGAAAAACGCTTTTGTGTGTTCCAAAACTGACGACCTATCTTGGAACGAAGTGGAGTTAGGAGTTTCAGCAAATCTTCACTCCCCAGAACTTGTATGTCTCCACCCTTTCTCCCAAAACAGAGCTGTGGGGTTTGCCTCGTCTGAAGATCTAGTCTCTGCTTGGGTAAGGTTGGAGAAGATTCTCGTCTATGGTAGGTGGGTGAAGATCGATCGGTGGTGGCCGACTGTTAACTCAGTTCCTTCTGGGTTAAGTTTTGATGGTTGGATCGTAGTTCATGGCCTCCCATTTCATTTATGGTCAGATGAGGTGTTTTCTTTGATAGGAAGCTTATGTGGAGGGCTGGAAGAGATTGACCCCAAAACCAAGGACTAGTCGGAGCTGAGCTTTGCCCGTCTGAAGGTGAAAGACCGCGGAGTTCACTCCATCCCCCATTCGATATCTATCATTGATAGAAATGTCTGGTTCTTCGCCATGATCGAAGTAGAGAAGAAAACAAAACCACCTTCTCCATCCACCGAGTTAACTCGGAGCGCCAACTCACGAACTTGGGAATCCCTTGTTGCCGCAGTCGAGCCTCTGAACAGAGCAGGAAACTTTCTTGTTAAGGACAAAGAAAAGGTGGCGACTGTGGCAGAGGCGTGTAAAGCAAGGAAGAAGCAAAATCTTCCCCTGCCAAGAAAATATAAAGGAAGAGAAGAGAAACTTTTTTCCAGGAGCTTTAGAAGGAAAAAATTTCAAAATTTGAAGGAATCCGTGGCTCTTGTCTCAAAGCCTGCACCAGAGCTATTTGCTTCGGACCCAAATGCTGTGAAGTCCCACTGGATACCCAA